CTTCAACCCAACTCATATTCTCATCCTCCAAACATATTCAAATGGATTCCTTCGAAGAACTTCATCTCCATGTTTCCTTCTTGTGGCCTGCTCAACGTCAATGCCCAACCTAGTGTTCATGTTATCCATCAGAGGCTTGAAGAAGAACTCAAGAAGAATAATGGAGCTCTGAACAATTCTTCTTCTTCTTCTTCTTCTTCTTCTTCTTCTTCTAGTTCATCTTCATGTGAATCAAAAACTGATACTCAGGTCATAGGCAAAAAGCGCCAGAGCCAGATAGAAAATCTGACAACCAAGGAGAAGGATATAGATATTTCGTTGACAAAGGAAATGCACCAGCCAAAGAAACCACAGACTGATCTAAATGAGTTCCTTCAGCAGCTTGGAATAGTGAGAGAGGAAAAGCAGTCACAAAAAGAAGGAACAGGTGAAATTCCTACAGAATATATCAGAATCAGTGGTGGATTCCAACATAAGAGATTTCGAAGAACTTGCAGCCTTCACAGAGAAGAGCTTCAACCGGGCTGCTGTAATAGAGATGAATGGAATTGGAGCAGATCAACAAGGAACCAGTGCCAGCTTCCATGTTCATGATATTCAAGAAGAGCTAACCTGGCTTACTTCCATTTGGAACTTGTAAAATTAGTAATAAATACATCTCTTGATCTTCAGTAAAGTTAGGTACTATGATGTTCAGCAGTAGTGCAGGCTGCATTGCCGTATCAAGATGGCATTTTTATCCATTTCTGTAGACTTATTAAGGAGACAGAATAAGACATTACCACTAACCATCAGTAATCAAACTCCTAAAAGTAATTGTGAAAAAGTAAAGAGAATCAACACCAAAGTTTTTGCTTGGAAAACCAAATCAAGAAAAACCTCGGGATCTAGTCCAGATCAAAATCATCCCCTATAAAGATGATCAGCATAAAATGTATGGGTACAAGTATAACATACATAAAAATGCTGTAAGCAACTAAAGGTCTTAACACTTGGGTCTTGAGTGTTGACACCATGCACAAACCACAAATGCTCTTCAGCTGAGGTCTAGACATCCTTGATCCTTTGAGCCTTGAGAAATAGGTGCCAATATTTTGCTACAGTGCCAACTCTCTCTTCCTCCACTTGGTCATTAGGTTTTGACTACCCAGTTATCCACACCTTCCAAAGTCCATCACAAGCCATGGCACCAACAGTAGGAGAGTGGGTGCAACGTGGTCTCAAAACACCAATTTCCTAGTTTCTATCCTCTTTGCTTCTCAACATCTGACGCAACAGTTGATATTTCTACACCCTTTGGCTTATATCCTCATTGCTTCTCAACATCTTTTGTAAGTCAACCTGAAACATAGTTGAAATTTATAAGAGCAAACAATCTATGTATTGGTCAGTTTGTCAACAGATGAAAGCCTAAAGTAATGATACAACTGACAACATGGTACACTCTATAGCACCTGTGCAGCATCTGGGGTAATAATTCCAATATCTGAACCTTAGACTCCACACTGAGAAAATCTCTTTCCTAGTTTGTACCTAAAATAGAAATCTCAGCTCTGCCTTCATTCAGTGCGCTGTCTTCTTCACACTTCTTTTCTTACATATTCCAATGACGCAAATGAGACATGATCCTTTTATTGCAAATTTACAATGATTGTATATAGCAAAATTTCCTAGATTTAATGGGTCTCCCTAAACCTTAAGTAAATCAATCAACTCAATATTTACCTTTCTGAAATTTGAGATGTTTCTTGTAAAGTATAATGTCAACTGAACCTTGCATTTACACACCAAAAATTCTTCCCTATTCTTTAAAAGTAAAGCAGTATCACTTTGGCTTTGTGAAACAAAATTATCTACACAGTTCACTCTCTTGTACAGGAACTAGCCTCCAAATGATATACATCT